GGCCAGGGGACAATGGCACCTTCACCCTTGGGACTGTTTGGAGTTAACTGCGATGATGTCAGGCCCGGGCACGAATGGAGCTGCCAGGAGCGTGTGCGTCTGTGTCGGGCCTGGCCCTGGAACCTGGCACCCAGCACGGGCGTTGCTGTTCCCTGAGCGTGTATCTGCGGAGCGAGGCGGAGACGCTCCAGCTGGACAGGCCGGGTGTTGGAGCGGCTGCTGCTGACAGCCCTGGGCACCTGGCCTGAGCCGGCACCCTTCCCGGCTGCCTGCCGCTGGAAGGAACCCAGGCCCAGAGGAGACGCAGCTCAGGCCCCAGGGGCCAGGCAGAGCCAGGGACCATCTCTGGCCTAGGAGCATGGCCAGTTCTCACAGTGACCCAAGGAAGGACATAGGCCCAGGGAGAGACACTGTCTGACAGTGCACCTGCCCTGGTGCAGAGTCCCCAGTGCCCAGTTGTTGTAGCCCACTGGAGGCCGAGCGGGGCCGGCAGGTCGGGGTCCCTCGAGTGCACTCTCTGGAGCCCCTGCCTGCCTGTCCCAAGGGCCTCAGCACCACAGTCCTGATCTTTGTGTCTTACTCCCCGACCCATCTCCTGGGGCCCAGCCAGGCACGTGCTCCCTGGGGAACCTGGCCCCAGCCTACAGCCCCAGCTGTGGTCAGTGACTGCATTCAGCCCATCACGACAGCTAACAATACCCAGGTCCTCTCTCTCGCCTCCCCAAGTTTAGTGAGACCCCTTGGAGGCAGCAGGGCCATGACTGTCTGCTCTGGGGCAAATATCAGAAGCCCACTCAGCTGTGTCTTCCCAGGGGAGGGTCTCGCACCTGGGTCAGGACCCCAGCAGAGGACAGGTTTCTCCACGTCTGTATCTGTCCTGTTCCCCTGGGGCCAGTTCCTGCTGGCCGTCCACACACATGGCACAAAATGCCAGCCCTGGCCACAGCTAGACCGCTATGTCTGCCCAGGTCCTGGGACCAGCAGGGACCTGTTCCATCTCTCAGGAGAGAAGCCAGCCTGGGGCACACGTCCACTCCAGCCCCAGTGAGCTATGGCCAGCAGGCAGCAGTAGGGGTACAACTGGGCACCAGGGGCAGGGTGCAGAGAGGAGGGTCACAGAGACAGGGCTCAGGGTCCCACACATGAGCGTGCCATGGGGTCCAGGGCACTCGCGCAGACGTGGGCCTTGACAGTAGGGAGAGGGAGCCACAGAGGGCACTGCCCTGCCCTGAGGTGGATGGTCATGACCACTGGCCCTGACCCACCCCGCCTCCTCATCCTGCTGCTGGGGCCTGACAGGTCACGCCATCCCTCCAGTCAGCAGTTTGCATCCCACAGAGAGGAAGGCCACCCTGGAAAGTGCCACACAGGACAATGGGCAGGAATGGCCTCTGTGTCGAGACCCTGTGGTCCCCACAGGTAGTGAGGACTGCTGAGGCTCTCAGCTGCAAGAGAGGCCTGTATCCAGGACGATGCCTGCCGTCCAGCTTGGCCTAATGGGACACTGGGGCTTGGCTGGACTCCTGGGAGGCCCCTGCCTATCCTGGGCCTCAGTCTCCTCCCCAGTGACCTCAGAGTCCCAGCATCTGACCTCTCCTCCTCAGGCTGTCCTCCTGACCACAGAGGAGGACTCCCCAGAGTCCCTTCTGCAACCTCAGGGGAAGGTCAAGGACATATCAGTGACCCTGTGAGACCCAAAGTGGGCAGAGGGCAGGACAGTTGAGCCCCATGCCAGGGCACCTGCCTGCTTGGCCTCAGCTCACCTCTGCAGAGATGGTGCCTCCCTGGATCCTGCCTGTCAGCCTGTGTCCCCAGCAGGGCCAGCTGGCCAGCTGGCCTGAGCCACCTGGGGAATTGTGTGGGCCTGGAGCTGCCAGGCAGAGCTCCCAGGAGCGTGTGAGGTCCCTGGCTCCGTCTCTGTCCTGTGTGTCTGGCCGTTTGTCCGTCTCCGCCTGGCTCTGCTGTTTTGGGTCTGTCTGCAGCAGGCTGTCTGCACCTTGCTCTGTCTGCCTGTATCTGGAGTTGCCTGTGTGTCTGTCTGGATCCTCTCTTGCTGTCTTCCTGTCAAGGGGCCGGGTTCCAGGCCCCTGTGTCCCAGCAAGCCCCTCTGTCGGTATGTGTCCGTGTCCCCCCTCCACGGGCACCTCCCTGCCTGTTGTTAACCCTCGCAAACCTGGCTCAGAGTCGGCGGGGACACCCGGAGGCCTCCCCCACCCCAGCCAGACCTTGCCTGCCGGTTATTCTCGTGCATTCTTGGAGGAGGGTTGATCAACCCGAATCCCAGCGGCTCTAGCAGACCCCCCAAGCCCTCCAGGGACGTGCACACGGAGCTTGTCCTGCCAGCGTCTGCGAGGGCCTGGGAAAGGGGCGGTGGGCGCCTGTGCTCGTGCCCCCACGGGGCAGCCGGGAGCGGGCTCCTCCATGTGCCAGGTGCGAGGTGGCTGCCAGGAGGCCAGGCCAGCCCCGTGCCATCCAGGGAAAGACAGCAGGAGACGCAGAGGAAGGTCAGAGACGATGCAGGAAAAGCCCCTGCGTGTGAAAGGCAAGGAGTGCGCCTGGTCCTGGTGGGGAGAAGCCATGGGAGGCTGAGCCCGGAGTTGAGTGGGACTGTCACCTCTGGGGGCACGCAGGGGAGGGGCAGGGGCAGAAGCCAGACCGAATGCCCCTGGTGTCACACTGTGGACTTTGGGACCAAATGTTTTCTATGATTAATGAGCAAAATTAAATTCATTTAAAATTTTTAAAAAGAGAGAAAAATAAAGGCCCACAGGTGTGAAGTTGGTGGGGGAACTGCTCTGAGGTCTTTCCAGTGAGTTTGAAACCGTCTCCTGACTGTGCGAACCTAAAGGGGCCGGCACAAAAAGGATAGAAACCCAAACTCGGTTCAGAAGCATTGTTAGTGAACCCACTGGTGGTGTTATTTTGAAGACGATCACGTAGAGGAGAGGACAGGTACGCTGACCTAAGTGGAAAACAAGCTGCCCACCACGGACACCACCAGGCTCAGCGCCTCGAGCGCAGACCCGACCCTACAGTCGCACCAGCAGGAAATACCCAGGAGCTGCGGGCACCCCGCCCAGCCTTGTCTGAGAACCACCCTGTGGGGTCATCCCTGGGGTCCCACCAGAGCGACCCAGGAGCCGCCAGAGGGGCCTGCAGACCCACAGTCCCAGGCAGGGGGGCCACTGAACACCAGAAGGAGTGACTGCAGGATCCAGATTCATCAGCGAGTCTGTGGTGTCACGGTGACGCTGAAAACAGACAGGAACTAAGGGTCACAGCTTGTTCTGCAAGTGGCTAGAGGTGAGACTGGCCCCTTCCTTACGGCTGCTCCGGGCCAGCAGTCTGGGACGCACGGGAGGCTCTTCTGCACTTCCCTCGGAAGCACCAGGGTGAACGGCCGGGGAATGGACCGCATCTGAAGTGGCCGTTCCGCGTGTCCCCATGGACTAGCCTGTCTGGACTGGCTCAGGCTGCCCAAGCCATCTGGTGGGAAAGCTGGGCCAAGCCTCTGAACCCCCGGGTAAGGCAACAGCAGGACCAGAGAGGAGCAGAGGCCGCCTGACCGTGAGGCAGAAGCCAAGCGCCACAGAGGAGCAAGCGCCTGGGCGGTGAGGCCCCGCGCACCCAGCGCACAGGCCGGTGGTGGCTTTCCTCCCTGGTGGCGCAGGGAGACAGGAGGAGGGCTTGTGAGAACTGGCCTGGAGGCCAGCACATGCTGAGGCACAAGCCGGCCGGGAGCAGGCATCCCGGAGCCCCTGGAGCACGCAGGCTGGGTGCTTTGCTAAGTCCTCATCTGTCAGTTTGGCGCCAGTGTTGGTGGGTAAACTGGCTCGCTCTGGGATCTTGCAAAACTCCAGTCACTCCCGCCACTCGGCCCCTGCCAAAAAAAGACTGGGGAATAGGGGAAGGGGTCTGTCGCCCACTCCGGCCACTCCACTGGCTCGCGAGAGGGCGTGGGGACGACCAGAACTCGTGACGGGGTTGCTGAACCTTGCGCGCCCACACCTTGAAAAGTGAGCAGATGCTCATGGGAGGGGGCATGGGCTCCAGGGTCAGTCTGCCTCCCGCGTTCATGTGCTGGGCCATGTCCACGGCAGGGCTCCAGGCAGGAAGTCCCTGAGCCCAAATTCCCACCTCTGAAAATATGTCCCGAAGAGAGCATTGAGGTAGGTTCTGTGATCCAGGAGCCCCCCTACCCTAAACATCATTAAAAAATATTTTTTCTCAGTGTAAACAGCCTAGATATCAAAAAGGAATTGGCTTTCAGTTTTGTAAGATTAAAAAAAAAATCTTAAGAGTGAATCTTCTTGACAGTGCTAGACTGTACAATTAAAAACAGTGGCCAGGCTCAGTGGAACACACCTGTAATCCCAGTGACTGGGGAGGCTGAGGCAGGAGGATCACAAGTTGGAGGTCAGCCTGGGCAACTTAGCAAGACCCTGTCTCAAAAGTTAAATAAATAAATGGGCTGGGGTGTAGCTCAGTGGTAGAGCACCCCTGGATTCAATATCCAGCACCCCCCCAAAAATTGAAGATAGTAGATTTTATGTCCGATGTCCAAGCATTCTGTTACTATTGATATTTAAATGAAAAAGCATCAGTCACGTTAAACAATGGATTATGATCAGAAATTACGTTGCACCCGAAATTTAATGATTCAGAAAAAGAAGAATGGTCGAGTTAGGTGAGAAGGCAAGAAATAGGTCACAGGACCCGGAGCCCAGCTCACTGCTGAGTGCAAGATCTTGACAGAACTGTGCTAGCAGCTCCCACCTTTTGCAGATGAGAAACAGGCTGGGGTGGGAAGGGGCTGGCAGAGACCTCAGGGGGCTTCGTCTCCTCCCACCTGCCCTGTTTCCAACCTGAGCCCTTACCTGTCATATGCATGTCCGCGGGTACCTGCTCCCATTTGGCTAGTTTCTTTCCTTTCTGAAATAGAAGGGTGTCTTCTGCACAGAGGTCTGGGTGACCCCGCGGGGCTGCTGGTGTTTTCACAGGCTGTTGATGGAGAAGAGGGCGGATGACAGCCGGGACTGTGGTCATCACCGGGGGCATCTTGGCGACTGTGATTCTGCTCTGCATCATCGCAGTTCTGTGCTACTGCCGGCTCCAGGTACCCCCCAGGGCAGGGTAGGGCCAGGCAGGGGAGGCCCAAGAGGCTCCAAGAAGGGACAGCCAGATCTCAGAGGAGGAGCCCAGCAGACAGCACTGGCGAGGACTCCACCTGCCAGGCTCAGGGTCCATGGCCACCTGCTCACTCACCCAGGGCTTTCTCCAAGGCTCAGAGAGGACAAGGCACTGAGCGGGGGGCACACAGCTGCCCAGGGGGAGGGCAGAGGCGAGAGGGGCCGCCCTGCATGCTCCCCGGCCTGCCCGTGCTTTGGTGCCTCCGGAGGCCCTGTGTCCTCCTGAGGTGGGGAGCCTTCTGGGCAGGGTGAGGTGGCCCAGGGCAGTGTCCACAACTGGACACTGGGGCTGGATGGGGCTTGGACCCCAGCTCTGCAGCCCCCATCCTCGGTCTCCATTGGCAAAGTGAAGATGGGGATTTCTGGACGAGGGAATGAGCCACCGCAAGGTGCTGAGCGCAGCGCTGGCCCCAGCAAGACTGGCAGGTGGTTGTGAGCGGGCCGGCTCTCGGCAAGGCTGCCCTGAACCCTGGGGACCCTCTGGCGTGGGCCAACCTGTAGGTACACTTGCAGTGGTGTGCAGCACGGTCACCCTCTCCCACAGTACTACTGCTGTAAGAAGGACGAGTCCGAAGAGGACGAGGAGGAGCCGGACTTCGCCGTGCACTCGCACCTGCCCCCCCTGCACTCCAACCGCAACCTCGTGCTGACCAACGGGCCCGCGCTGTACCCGGCCGCCTCCACCTCCTTCCGCCAGAAGTCCCCACAGGCCCGCACACTCTGCCGCAGCTGCTCCCAATACGAGCCGCCAACCTTCTTCCTGCAAGAGCCCGAGGACGAGGACGAGGCTGTGCGCAACGGCGGGGGGCGCGTGGCCTATAAGAGCATCAGCCAGGAGGACCTGGAGCTGCCCGCGGGGGGCTTCGGGGGCCTGCAGGCGCTCAACCCCAACCGCCTGTCGGCCATGCGCGAGGCCTTCTCCCGGAGCCGCAGTGTCAGCACGGACGTGTGACGGCTGTCACACGCCCAGCACTGCCACACAAGGTCTCCAGGCCACTACAGAATACCCATGGCATGTCCCCAGGGCTCCAGGCCCAAGCCCGGGCTCAGCCCAGCCTTCCTCACATCCCTGCCCTCAGGGGTCCCCAGGCATGAGGAGCCCCAAGCCCTCTGCAGGGATGAGGCTCAGTGAACTCCAGTGTGGCCGCTTCAGGTAGAGGCCCGATGCCAGGGCAGGTGGGGATGGCAGAGCAGGGCAGGGCCTGGCTCTTGGGCACAGGGCCAGGCTCCTACCTCCAGGAGGTGCGGGACGGTGATCATGGTTCCAGCCCCAACTCAGCTCCCTGGCTGTGTGGCCTGGGCCATGCCATGCCCTCCCGGGGCCCTGGTCTTCCTGCCTGTGCCAGGAAGGGGTGGCCTCTGTGATGCCAGGGGCCCCGCAGCACAGGCCTCCCGGGGACAACAGGGACTCCACGCCCCCTGAACTCGGGTCCCCTTCTTCCCCCCTCTCTCCCTCTCCTTCTGCCCCCACCCCCTACAGGCACCTGCTGGGGCTGATACACTGTTGCCCTAAATGCCTGGCAGATGGACAGAAGGGAGAGTTTAGGGACAGCAAGGTTCTTGGCGTACTTGGCCCCTGGTCTGTTTCTGGTGAAGAGGGAGGCAGAGGGAGAGGGGACACTGCACAGCTGGTCCCCAGCCTAGGCCAGGCCAGCAAGCAGACACCTGGGGGGTAGGGAGGTGGGCAGAGCCGTGGCCCAGGGTTCAAAGGTCCCCCGACTCACCAGGAGTCCTGGGTGGCCTTCCCATCCATGGGCCTCAGCCTCCCCATCTGCCTGAGGGAGGCTGGCCTCAGAGGGTCCTTCGAGCTCTGATTCTCAGCAGGAGCCACCAGGTCCAGGGAGACTGGGCCACCCCCTTCCACCTTCTTCCCCCCAAGCCCAGTCCCTGCTGGTGCCCCGTGGGTCCAGCCAGCCAGAGCTCGCTGCTCCTGAGTGGGAGCACATGTCCCTCCAACTCCAACCAGGTCTCCCCAGGACTTTTGCCCCCTCTCTAGCCCTCTCTATCACTGGAGGAGATGGTGCCCAGTGGCCGCCAGGGGCACTGCCCCACACCCACGCCACTGCCACCCAAGCACAGCTGTCCTGCCAGGAGGAGGCAACTTTCTCTTTCTGGGCAGCAGGACCCAAGAGCCCCTTCCCTCTGGGAGCCTCCCCCTCCCCAGGTCCTACCATGGAGCCACGGGTGGGTGGGCGCTCAGCACAGGCACCTCCCTAAAGATAAGCCTTCAAGGGCCGGGCCGCCCCGAGCCAGGCCCGAGCAGGACCTTGCCCTCTTACTCCAGCGCCCGTGAGTTTCCAGAGACCGGGCAATTGGTGGAGAGCCTCGGCCTGGGCACCGAGTCTCCCTCCTCTTCCTCCTTCCTCCCGCCTCGGCCATGGTGGGGTTCACCCCGGGCCCTGTGCAGTCTGCTCCCCACACCCCCAGAGCCTGCATCCCATCCCACCCTGTCCTGCATCCTGTGGAGTCGCCGGGCATCCGCTGAGGTGGGGCGAAGGGCACTCCCCAGCCCTCCCACGTCCCTCCCTTCTTCCTGGCCTCTTCCCTCTGGTGTAGTTCATAGATCTCCTTGAAACAAGCACCACCCCTCCCAGCCCCCTCCATGCCGCCGTGACGGGGCCTGCTGGCGGAGCCCTGGGCTCCCTGGGAAAGCGAAGCCAATAAACCTTGTCTCGCAGCCGCTGCTCCGTGTCTTCAGTGCGCTTGGGCTCCTGCCGTGCAGCCCCCTTCCTGGAGCTGCCCAGTGTCAGACAGTCACCTTTCTGATCTGGCTGGTGGGGTCCGGGGCCTGGGACTGGGAGTGGCTTTCTGGGAGGACTTGCCTCAACAAGTCGCTGTGTTTTTTAGTTCCCTAGAGGTGAGTTGATCTTCTGAGATTGGGAACCACCACTGTAGTGCTGAGCTGCTAGAAAGTTTCTGGGTAACGGGCTGTGTTACCTGGGACAACAGGCTGACCATCTCTGGGCCTGCTTTAGCATCGATGCAATGGGGACCTTAGAACTTTCCTGCCGGAGCCCAACAGCTGCTCTGGATGGTAGCCCATGGGTGCAGGCACACACAGGGGCAAGAGTGCCCGGGCTGATGGCTGCCTAGGTTCCCTCAAAGCCCCAAGTCCCTCAGAAACTGTTCTGGTGAAACGAGGCACTGAGGTGGCCCCTGCTCTGGGTTCCAGCTGGAGACAGTCCATCCCCAAATTGCAGGGGACTGACAAGCAACTGTGGGCCTCCCTGCTACCTGGGCTCCCAGGAGACACTGCCCGTGGCCACCTGGGCACTGAGAACATGGTGCCAAACACACCTGCATGTGGTGCCCTGATCCTGAGCTGGGGCTCAGGCTCCATGAGGGGACACACGCCAGTTGACAGCAGGCTTGAAGTTCTGGCCAGTTCTGAAGCCAGCACTGAGCCCCGACGTCCCTCCCTGGGCCCCCTGTTCCCTTTGTGCTTCCTGACTGCTTGCTGCACCTGACTACTGCAGCCGCCTGACCGCACACCCTCTGCTGAGCCAGAATCCCCGCATGGCTCACCCTGGCTCTCAGCCCCTGTGCCCGCCAGCCTTCCTGCCAGAAGCAACTGAGATCGCGAAATGCCACCATAAATACGGTCACTTTATTAACATACGCCGATGAGTACTGACAAGGATACAGGACACCCGGCTGTCCATGCCCAGTGCACCATGAGAAAGGGCCTCTTCAGGGGCATAAAGTGCATGCCCCTCTGAGCACAGCTCCTGCAGGGCAGGTGGAGCTGACACTAGGTCGTGGGATGGGGTCCCCTGGAAGGAGCATGCCTCAGTACCTCCAGGGACTGATGGTCTGTGTCCCCTGGCTGCCCTGGCAAGTCACCTTGGAATGGCTGCACCTCTACAGAGCAGAACCTGGGCCAAGGGCAGGTCTCACCTCCATGCTGGGCTTTGGACTCTGGGCCCCATGTTTCTGGGGCTGCTGGGGGTGGAGGTGGCAGCCACCAACACAGGACCCTCTGGCTCCAGGTACAGCCCCCACAGCTGGGGCCACTCTGGGGAGGGGTTGCTGGGTGCTGGAGGCTGTCCCAGGGCTGGGCAGAGCATCGATCCACAGGCCATGGAAATCTGCTGAGGATCAGCCGAGGCTCCGCCTCAGGCCTTCACACCCGGGGGCCTACAGGACGAGTGTCCAGGGAGGGGCCCCAGAGCCAAATAAGCTCAGGGCGGGCACCCGAGTCTCAAGGGGCTGCAGGGCCAGGCCTGGGAGTGGGAGTCCGGCAGGAGCGGCAGCAGGCCTTGCTGTAGTACCAGTGGCCGCAGAGGTTCACCCTGATGGCCAGAGCGCAGTTGGTGCCCGGCTGGTCCTGGCAGCTGTCATCTGGGGAGGTGATGGGGCAGGGTGATGGGGCAGGGTGTTGGGAGGAGGCCAAGAGGCAAAAATGCAGGGCCCCCCCACAGTCTTTTCTCAAGGGCCAGGGCTTTGCCCTCTGGACAATAGGAACCTGTGGTCTCAGCCATGGTGGATGTCCCCTGCAGGTCTCTGCCACCTCTTTCCCACCCCACACCCTCCCAGCCAGTCCTGGAGCCCCGAGGGGCTTGATCTGTCACTGGGAGAGGTGACACCTCCAGGGCCAGGATTTGAGGAAGACACTGTCCCCTGGACATCCTGAACATCCCCTGGAGCCCACAGTTGCCCCCTCCCCACTTGAGATGCTCAAGCAGAATCGCCACCTGCCTCTGCCGCTCGCTGCCATCCCAGAGCCCTTGTCCACCTGCCAGGACCCAACCAGAGGTCCTGCCTGGCCCCTCCTCCCTGCAGCCAGGGCAGCACCGGAAAATCCTGGTCCAGGGGCTCCGGGTGCCCTCCCACCTGCTTGTCCCACAGGCCCTGGCTCTGGCCACAGCCCCCTGGGAAGCCCTGCCCTCGGGTGCCCCTCTCACCTGGGGGCTCTGTGGGGCAGGGCTGAAGGTCACAGGCTTGCCTGCCCACGGGCTTCACCAGCGGGTCACATCCGCGGACGATGTCGGTCCCCTGGTAGCACTTCACGTCCCGCATCCTCACGCCCACCCCGCAGGTCTTGGTGCACTGACATGGGAGATACCAGTGGCGTGGCAGAGCCTCTCCGACCCCACCCGCTGCCCACACGGGGCACAGGGAGCTCCCCGGAGCCTAGACCCTGCGGCCGGGCTGAGTGGGAGGTGAGGAGACCCCGATTCTCACCCCAGCTCCGCCATTTCCCCAGGCACCGTGTGGGTGGCCCTGAGTCGGCCCTTCCCCCTTCGGCGGACGCCTGCTGTCCTGGGCCTCTAACACAGACAACTTACTATGGCCAATCCAACGCATCTTGAAGCCACTGCCCCCACGCTGGATCCCTGTCCAGATGTCCCCTGGGTACGCTAAGCTACCCAGAACACCAGGGTCATCTGCTGACCCCGATGACCCTGCCATCCTCCTGCCATGCTCCTACAGGCGGAGGCTTCCTGATGTGGGTGACCCTACACCACCCAGGCAAGCCTGGGACCTGGGCCTGGGCTCCCTGCAGTGGGTGGGCGCCTCTGCCCTGCCCTCCCTCCAATTTTCTTTCCAAAGGCACAGAGAGGACAGGGAGGACTTGGCAGGAGGCTGCCCGCCGGCTGCCCACCCGGCCTGGGGAGTGGCTCAGCTGGAGGTGAGAGACGGCTGGCTTGGCATCACGGCCAGAGGACAATCTGGCTTTGGCGGGCACCCAGGGAAGCCTGTGGACGTGCCCCGGGAGACGGGCGGGCTGCCGGCGCCGGCCCCCTGTCCCTGGGGAGAGGGTGGGATGGGGCAGCTGAGGAACAAACCCTAAAGCGGTGCCTGGCATGGTGGGCAGGCAGCCGCCGGGACACGACAGGCCACACGCCCACGGCCATCTGCACCAGCCCCCTCGCCCCGCCCCAGCCTTGGGAACAGGGAGGCCCTCCTCCTCCACACTGCTCCCGGGGCCCTGCTCCCTCCTAGCCCACCTGCCAGCAACGCCTGCTAGGCACCTGTCCCTAGAGGCCCACGGTCCTCCCAGAATTCATCTGTCTGCATGGCTCCCTGGGACCCCAGCCCCAAAAGGCCTCCCCTGCCCCTCCCCTCCTCCTCCCCCCGGGCCTGGCTGGGACCCTACATCTCCTCAGCCCTCTGCCTCCTCCCGGAAGCCCCAGCCCTGCCTCAGTCTCTCCCCTCTTGCTGGGGGTCTTTCATGGGCAATAGGGGCATGTGGTGCGGGAAGCAGAGGACTCGTGCAAGGCAGGGTCTGTGTGAGGTCCTCCTGCCTGCGTGGAGTTGGGGGTCCCAGCCCTGTGCTCCGAAGAGTGGCTGCACTCATGGGAACCCACCTCCAGACCCCTGCCACCCACTGGTCCCAGGGGCCCAGGCCAGGGCGGCCTCCGTGTTGGTGTCTGGGACATACTATGAAACTCTCAGGAAAGGTCCTGAGCTCCACGTCCCCTCAGATACCTCTTGACTGTCCCTGAGCTCTCAGAGTTGGCCCGAGTGGAAACTAACCCCGCCCAGTGATTCTCAAAGCTGGCTCTGGGCCTCCCTGTGTGCCCCTCTGGGAGCCTGTGGCCTCACTGCAGGCGCTAGGGACACAGCGCCCGCAGACTTCTGTGTGAGCTAATGAGAGCGGACGTCGGGACAAGGCTGGCTGTGGTGTAAGAAAGACTCGGAGCGCTGGCAAGGCCTGGGCTCTGGACACTGCCAGCAGCCTCCCAGGAGGATGCGGGACAGCGGAGGTGCACTTGCCCTGCCTCACCCACCAGGGACAGCTGCTGCCCCAGCTAAACCAGGGTGCTTGACCCGAGGGGGTTCCTCTTCTGGGAGACGGGATGGGCTGGCTTGGGGACTCCTTCCCTTTGCAAATTCTCCACACCCCCTGGGTTGGGCCCAGGGCTCCCATGTTCCATAGGGCCCCCCAATAACTGTGGGACCCTCAGGAAGCTGGACAGCTCGCCGAACTCCTAATTCTTCCTCTGAGAAATGGAAAAGGGCCCTCCTCAGGGGGATCTGGGAGGGAGGAGACCTCAGGCTGCCCTGGGGACCCCGCGGTGAGGGCACTGCCAGCCCAGCACCCTCTGGCTGGGAGTTCTGGGGACCAAGGAGTCCACAGAATCGTGCAAGGGCCAGGCCTGACACTGGGGCCAGGAGAGACACTGCCCTGCCCTGTGGGCATAGTGTCTGCCATCTAGCTGTACCCCCAAGTCCCACAAACCTGCCTCGCTGCGTCTCACCCTGGGGTCTGTCTGCCTCACGAGGGAGTCAGGCCCACATGCTGACGCAGTCACCACTTAAAGGCCACAGTGTGAGTCTGGAAAACAACCAGGCCCCTGAGGCCCTGGACAAGCGCTGCAGGGCCAGCAGGGGCAAGATCAGGGCAGGCTTCCTGGAGGGGGCAGCCCTCCACCCATTGATCTAGTACACTGAGAGGCTAACCAAGGACAGAACCCTTAGGGACCTCTGCGGCAGGAGGGGACCGTAGGCGCTCACCTCTGACCAGGGGCTGGTGTACCACTTGAAGCAAGGCCTCTCAAAGCAGGTGCTCTCCTCGGGGGGCTTCCTGGCCAGCCCGCACTCGGGGCCGCTACGCGTCTGCGGCTTCCCATTGGCCAGCTCCATGCAGAGGACCAGCCGCCTCTTCACACCACGCCCACAGGTGGTGTTGCACTGAGGGCCAGAGGGACAGGTCAGCGGCCAGGGGCCAGT